CAATAATATTTAACCAATGTATGAAAAGAGCTTAGCATATTCAAAAAGCAAAGAACAGCTTCAGATAACAGTGATGCTAAACAGGCAATCAAAAGATTATTTCAAATACTCAGTACTATAGGGCAGTCTAGCTCTTAAACTTTTTTTTAATGTTTAATTGACTAAAAATAGCTGTATACATCTATTGGGTACAATGTGATATTTTGACATATGTATACATTATCGAAATATTAAATAAATCTAATATATCCATCACCCACCTACTTATCTTTTTAAATGATCTTTAATATCTACTCTTACATTAATTTTGAAATTTACATTGCATTATTATTAACAATAGATGCTGTGCAATAGATCCCTAATTTTACTCCTCTTAACTGGAACTTTATGCTCTTTAATCCCCTTCAGTGAAACAGAGCTGTGTTTGACCTCATAGACTTTTAAAATTTCTCAATTCGTTTGCAAGTTACTGATTTTTAAAGGGCAGAATGGGACAGGTAATGATTTCTTATAGAGACCAAATAGTGAAAAATGGTGAAGACAGTAGTTCCCCCCCTCCAATCGCCAATTGCTCACCATAAGTTGTCAATTGTGGAGTGTATGATTTGGTAAATTAGAGACACATATGTAGTTTTAGAAAGCTATTCATCCTAGGTTTAATTCGCTATTATGGTTCCTTGATCAGCGATCAACAAAATTTTCTGTAAAAGGCCAGATAATAAGTATCCTTGGCCTTGCATGCCAGAAGACTCCTGTCATAATACTCAGTTCCATTGTAGCAAGGATACAGCAATGTTCAGTACACAAAGGAGTCTGAGGCGCAGCCTAGATGTCACAATTTCTAACAGTTCCCATGTCATTCTAACTTGCACCCAGGGTTAATAAACACTGCCTTAAGAAATGGCTCCTGGTCAGGCATCGTGGCTCACACCTGTAATCCCAGCACTTTGGAAGGCCGAGGCTGGTGGATCACCTGAGGTCAGGAGTTCAAAACCAGCCTGGCCAACATGGCAAAACCCAGACTCTACTAAAAATACAAAAATTAGCCAGGCATGGCATTGGGCGCCTGTAATCCCAGATACTCGGGAGGCTGAGGCAGGAGAATCACTGTAACCTGAGAGGTGGAGGTTGCAGTGAGCTGAGATTGCACCACTGCATTCCAGCCTGGGAAGAAAGAAAGAAAGAAAGAAAGAAAGGAAGAAAGGAAGGAAGGAAGGAAGGAAGGAAGGAAGGAAGGAAGGAAGGAAGGAAGGAAGAAAATAGCTCCTAAACCAGATGAACAAACATCAGAATAATCTGGAGACATACAGGTACAGTGAAAAAATATGCAAAGTCACACAGGATCTTGCCATATCAAATGACTCAATTGCTGATGGAGAGGTCAGGCAATATATAGCATTTTAAAATCCTCTATAGGGAAATTGGATGTTTAAAAACCACTGTCTTAAAGGAAATGGAATATGTGCCACTAATGATTTCTTTCTTTACCGTTTACATGTATCTTCTGCATTAAGTAATAATTTTCTCCAAGCACCTGCAGATTATAACAAAGATAGTTTGGAGGTGATGGTTTAAGAATTTAAAAATCTTAAATTCGGTTATCTGCATTTTGAAGGAGTGTCGGGCACGTTACTGGGCAGACTGTTATTTTCCTGAAGCAAGGAGAAAGGTCAGCCTATCTTTATTTTCATGTAGCATTCAGAAGGTCTATAAGATAATATCTAAGGACTGAACATGGGCACAGAAGGGGAGGGAGAAGGGCTTTTTGGAATAGATGCTCCAATCTACCTTGAGAAGACTGAGGAAAACATTATCCTGCTGTGAGTTATTTTAAAACATATTGGTCTTGGCCGGGCGCGCTGGCTCGCACCTGTAATCCCAGCACTTTGGGAGGCCGAGGCAGACGGATCACGAGGTCAGGAGTTTGAGACCAGTCTAACCAACATGGTGAAACCCCGTCTCTACTAAAAACACAAAATTTAGCCAGGCATGGCGGCGCATGCCTGTAATCCCAGCCACTCAGGAGCCTGAGGCAGGAGAATCACTTGAACCCGGGAGGCAGAGGTTGCAGTAAGCTGAGATCCCGTCATTACACTCCAGCCTGGGTGACAGAGCCAGACTCCATTTCAAAAAAAAAAAAAAAAACAACAACAACATATTGGTCTCTATGTTATATGTATGTATGTCATATATTTTTAAAATTTAGTCATAGGACTTTAAAAAAGACCACTGGAGATGAGTACTGCTTTTTGCATCTGTAATGGCCAGGAATGGGGTCTTATTTATTTTTGAATACTAAACACTTAGTAAAAATACCCAGAATATAGTAGGCACAATAAAAGATTATTTAGTGAATGAATTTAGGAAGGACAAAATTCCACATGGAGGACAAGATGCATTTTTAGAATGCCAAAATTCTGGAAGAGTTTTAGGGGGCTGAGTCATGGATATTTCTTTGTCCAAAAGGGCAGGTTTCCAAACAAGTTCCACACATATGTTGCATTGTCCTTGGAGGAACATAAATGTAACATCAGACTATATAGACATGGCTAAATAGTATGCATATTCCCTCTTGCTGACTGACATTCCTGGAAATCCCATTCAAAGCATCTCTATTTCTTCCTCTCCATATCTTTAAGATAAAAGCATACTCAAGATTTACTGTGAAGAATTTTGCAGAACACTTGATTGAATAATAGAGTTCTTAGTTACTTTCATTTGATTTTCGAAAATGGGTAGTTAAAGTTCTCTTCCTTTCAGGCTGGAACAGTAGCTCACTCCCATTTGGGTCTTGAATCATAAGGAAGAAATTGACCCATTTTCAGAATTGCAGTGCCTTAGTTATTTATGGCTGCCTATAAACCCATTCTTCTTCACTCCTTGGACAGCAATCGCAAGGCTCAGGTGCCAAACTGGGAAACGTAATGTATTTTTCCAGGAGCAGTTGGCTTCTTGGGAGCATTCTGGCAATGATATGGTCCCCTTTGAAATTGCCTACTTCACTGACTTGTGTTTTTAAAATGCATGATGAACTGTTTGGGCTGCTGTGCTGTTGTACATGCTATTTTCCTTTGACTCACCTCGAAATAATGAGGAATTGATATCCATTTAATCCACATGGAGAAAAAGCTACTGAGTACAACTGAAAAAAAAAAAAACAAAACAGTCCATATATGGAATTTCCACATATTTATATCTTAATGCTGGAAGGGACATAGGGGCCACCTAGTCCAACATCCTACCCAGTGCAGGAATTTCCTCCATAATGACCCTGGGCAGGAATCAATCAACATCTGCTTAAAAGTTTCTGAAGACAGGGCAATTGCTACTTCTTAAGTCAAACCATGTTATCACTGAATTCCTCTAATTGTTTAAAAGTCCTTCCTAATACTGAGATGAAAGCTGCCTCACCACAGTGTTTTGCACCAGTCCCAGCCCTGCCTTTAGAGCAGCACAGAATAAATCTGATCCCTCTTCAACCTAAAAGCTTCCCAAATGTTTCTCACCCTGTATTCTTCATTTTCCAATGTCACCATCTCCAGTTGTTTCAACTACTCCTATTGCCTAGTCAGACAAGCCTGTCGGTGTACATTTTTAAATATGTCATCTACTTTCAGAATAGTTCATTGGGGTTTACTACTGCTTGTCATTGGAACATTATAATTCTATCAGTCTAGACTCTTAACACGTAAAGCTTCTGTTAGCAGTCTACACATTGCTGGCTTCAGTTATTCAGGAACTATGCTAACCTCTTGTATGTTTTCTACTCTCCAGTCGTGTCTCAACACCCTCAAGACAGGTACCATCATAATTCTCAATTATATTTGAGAAAAATGATGGTCAGAGAGATTCAGAAATCTGCTCACAGCTAGTTCTGACTATCAAACCCTTAATTAATAAACTATATTGTCTCTCTTACAATAAATGCAACTAAAACTGAGTTATTTTTAAGAATAAGTTGCTGTTAGACCAGAATCTCTTCTTCCTTTTTATTGTTTCCTGTGCGGTTCCTTAGTGGCAATCATATAATAGGGAACTTTATCATGATAATTCACTTCCACATACAATTAATGAATTTAATTCTTACAGCAAATCTACAGGATTTCATTTCATTTAACTGTATTTTCTATGTTGAAACTTGAAGCTCAGAGCTTCCCAAAGTCACACTGCCAGTAACGGGATCATCACTGAGCCTGTTTCTATTATCCATTTTGTCTTTTGATTGTTAATTACTGTTTGCAACTTCTTTGCACATATATAGTACTTTTAATTGATTGTTGGATATTGTAGGTGGGACGTTATGGATGTTCTGTATTATGTCATCTTCCTATAATTATTGTCAAGTTTTTTTCTGGCAGGCAGTTAGACTGCCAGTGAGTCAACTTGACCTGTCACGTCTTGGTTTTAGACTTTATTAAAGATGAGAGGCTAGGTGTGGTGGCTCACACCTGTAATCCCAGCACTTTGGGAGGCCAAAGTGGGTAGATCACCAGAGATCAGGTGTTCAACACCAGCCTGGCCAACATGGTGAAACCTCGTCTCTACTAAAAATACAAAAATAAGGCTGGCATGGTGGGAGGCACCTGTAATCCCAGCTACTCAGGAAGCTGAGGTGGGAGAATTGCTTGAACCTGAGAGGTGCAGGTTGCAGCATGCCAACACTGCACCACTGCACTCCAGCCTGGACAACAGACCAAGACTCCATCCATCTCAAAAAGAAAAAAAAAAAAGGAGAAATTTTCGCATTAAATTGATATATAGAAAACTGTCCTTACTCATAAACATGGCTTTTCTGGGACCTCAAGTACATTCCCAGGGAGTTCACCAAGGTGTCTTTACTATAACTATGGCTGAACTCTGTATCTTCCCATTTGGACCAACCGTGAAATCTCTTCCCATTTTTCTGGCACACAGTAAATGTATTCCCGGCCAGGTGCTGCTGAGTGTTGCCCTGAAAATGCATGTGTTTTTTTTGTTTGTTTTTGTTTGTTTTTTGTTTTTTTATCCTGCCACAATATTTTTAATTACATACAAAGCTCTGACATGGCACCCAGGGACCCATTTCACCCACTGCTCTGTTTGGCCGCCAGTCTTTTGTCTCTCTCTTCAGCAATGGTGAGGCGGATACCCTTTCCTCGGGGAAGAGAAATCCATGGTTTGTTGCCCTTGCCAATAACAAAAATGTTGGAAAGTCGAGTGGCAAAGCTGTTGCCATTGGCATCTTTCACGTGAACCACGTCAAAAGATCCAGGATGCCTCTCTCTGTTGGTGATCACACCAATTCTTCCCGGGTTAGCACCTCCAGTCACCATACACAGGTTACTAGTGTCGAACTTGATGAAATCAGTAATCTTGCCAGTCTCCAAATCAATCTGAATGGTATCATTCACCTTGATGAGGGGATCGGGGTAGCGGATGGTGCGGGCATCATGAGTCACCAGATGAGGGATTCCTTTTGTGCCCACAAAGATCTTTCTCACTTTGCATAACTTGTACTTGGCCTCCTCAGGTGTAATACGATGTACAGCAAAGCGACCCTTGGTGTCATAGATCAGACGGAAATTCTCTCCCGTCTTGTCAATGCTGATGACATCCATGAATCCAGCAGGCTACGTTATATCAGTTCGGACCTTGCCATCGATCTTAATGAACTGCTGCATGCAAATCTTCTTTACTTCATCTCCTGTCAGGGCATACTTAAGTCTGTTCCTTAGGAAAATGATGAGGGGGAGACACTCTCTCAACTTGTGGGGACCGGTGGATGGACGAGGAGCAAACACACCAGTCAATTTATCCAGCATCCAATGCTTTGGAGCTGCTACCCGCTTCAGATGCTTCTTGGGACCACGAGTCATGGCTGCGTTAGGCAAGGAAAGAGGACCTCCGTCTTCCGGTGCGCGTAGAAATTCAACATGCATGTTTTGAGTTGATTGTATATGATGTTAGCTATAGGATTTTTGTGGATATTCTTTATTGAGAAAGTTCCACTCTATTACTCGTTTACCTAGAGTTTTTATTACGAATTGGTGTAAGATTTCATCAAATGTGTTTTATGCAGCTATTGATATCATCACGTGATTTTTTTTTCTTCTTCAGCCTGTTCATGTGATAGGGTACATTAGTGGATTTTAAATTGTTGAACCAGCTTTGCCTATCTGAAATACATCCCACTTGGTCATGGTTTATACTTATTTTTATATATTGTGAAATTTGATTTGCCAATATTTTATGGAAGATTTTTCCATCTATATTCAAAAGCTAACTTTTTAAAACTTTTATTTTAGGTTTGCGGTACATGCGCAGGTTTGCAATATAAGTAAATTCTCACTCATGTCATAAGGGTTTATTATACAGACTATTTCGTCACTCAGGTACTAAGTCTAGTATTCAATAGTTACTTTTTTCTGATCCTCTCCCTCCTCCTATCCTCCACTCTCAAGTAGGCCCCAGCGTCTGTTGTTCCCCTCTTTGTGTTCACATGTTCTCATCATTGAGCTCCCACCTATAAGTAAGAACATGCAGTATTTGATTTTCTGTCCCTGCATTAATTTGCTAAGCATAATGGCCTCCAGGTCCATCCATGTTCCCAAAAGGATCTCATTCTGCATAGTATTCCATGGTGTATATGCACCATATTTTCTGTAACCAATTTGTCATTGATGGGCATTTACGTTGATTCCATGTCCTTGCTATTGTAAATGCTGCTGCAGTGAAGATACACATGCATGAGTCTTTATAGTAGAATGATTTATATTCCTTTGGATATATACCCAGTAATGAAATTGTTGGGTTAAATGATAGTTCTGTTTTTAACTCTTTGAGGAATCATCACACTGCCAGAAGCTCACTTTTTATACTCATCTAGAAATCAGTACATCCAATCTTGGAGCATAATTGTGGAGGGTTTCAGACAGAAGTATGAAAAGCAGTGCATGTCATCTATTTATATTTATTTGAGTGGGATCATTGAGGGCTATTGGGGAGGGAAAAAATGAGTTCATGAATAAGAGCCATGCCCTATTTGAAGAATTTAAGGAGATAAACCCATATATTGTCTGGAAATCAGTCAAAATTTCAAAACATTAGAAATACAATACATAAGAGAATCAATACAAAGGTACAAGGATAATATATTGATGTAATCCAGGTAATTGATTATTCACCTAAATAACTAAAGAATGATAAAAAGATGTTAATGAGTATTACATTAAGACATAAACATTTTAAACTGGTAGAATCATTATCATAGAAGAGAGTGCAAACATACCAAACTTGAAAATAAAAAATTAAAGAACCCAGCCTCTTAGTTTCTATTTATTAGAAACAAAATTCCATTTCTGTTTTGAAAAACGAGTAACTCTTGTACTAAAGAAATCATTATCTGAAATTATCAAATCTTTCAGCTTTATTTGTATTCTTTCCTTCTATTAAATTCCAGAAAACTAAATTTAATGCTCACTGTTAAAAATAGCAAGGACATTTTGTTGGAGACTGTCTTCCTTCTTCCTCACTGCCTACCCAGGATCCTGTTCACCTTCTTTAAGAGGGCACCTGTTCCTGAGGGTGCTGGGCTCATCTTCTGCTCTAAGGAATGTCATGCTTGATATAAGGCAATCTATGGCGGTCTTATCATCTCTGTCAAGTACCAAGAAGACCCGATTCGGGAAAAGTCTGCTGGGGAAAAGTTTTTATCCCATTCAAAATAAACAAAAGGTGGGAAATTCAATTTTCTGTTTACAGCCCTACACTATCTCAGCTGTGACACATTCAAACTCCACGACTTTGAGTAAATTGTGGTTGTTTTAACTTCTCTGTATTTTAATTCTTCATGTAACTGGTGATAATACAAAAAACCTATCTCATGGGGTTGTAATAAATATTAAACATGTAAAACCCTTAGAAAAGTGCCTGGCAGATACCAAACCCAATGTGTTTACTATTATTACTATTACAATTATTATGAGCATTCTAGGAAACTACTTGAATTAAAACTGATCAGCTGTTACTATGTCTTCCTCTCAGGCATTTTAAATTTATCTCTGTACCTTCCATTTTATTTATAATCTTTTCTAACAGGGCTGAAAATAAAATTCAGTTTTAATGGCTCTGCCTTTTCTCTGTCATATATGAGACTGACATCAGCTTCTAGGCAATGCTTTTAAAATCTTATTATTCTCCTTTGGAAATTTTTGGACTTTATTGGATTTTTCTCTGACTCTATTTCACCTCCACCCTCTCAAATTTATCTTTTTTAAAAAATATGAGGTCAGTCTGTGCTTGGATTATCTTCTAAAAAGTTTTTCAGAATTTATCTAGTAGCTGTGATGACTAATCCTTCTGTCCCTAATTCGTTCTCATTGGAATTGTGATTTGAAAATCAGAATTATATATATATATATTTTAAGAATCTCTCTGCCGTGGGATCATACCTATTTTTTCTCTATGAACATTTTGAAATCTGCTTTCCCAAAGCCAAGGTCACATCCACATCTGCCCAGCAAAAATAATTATAATGATTATAGGAAAAGCAGATGTTTGAGAAAATAGAAACTGTTTTAGAGACCTGTCAGTTTGTCCACGAGGAGGGTAAGAGAGGGACATGCTTGTCAGTTTAACATTGTCTGCAGGTGGAAGTTGAAGATGAATGAGTACTGATTCACTGACTTGTCTGACTTGTAAAAAAGAATCTTGAATGGGTGACAAGCTCTAGCTATTCTCTGTATTACAAGCTCCTTTAGCAACCAAGGTCGGGGGGCAGGGGGCACTGCAAGATGTATGACAGACAGTCTCTCTATTCAGAAATATTCCACAAAGAATATTCCCCATTTATGGAATCCTTACTATATGCCAGGTATTGTAATGAGACCTTGACATCAATAACTCATTTGAACCATTTTACAAGTGACACAGGATCTGAAAAATATTTTCAGGGGCACACAGCTAGTAAGTTAGGAGCTGTCGGATTAGAACTCCTGACTGCTTAAATCTAACATCTGTGCTCTTTGCATGTGTTATGGGTTTTGTAAAAATAGTCATTTTAGGGGCACTGCCAAAATAAAAGTCTTTTCTGCGAGTGGCGGAAGTGCCAAACGTTTTGCACATCTTAGGTTCTTGACATTTTAGTTTATATTTCTGACACCAAGTTGAATTTTCCAGCATTGCCTGATACAATGGTGAGCTCTACATACACAATGTTTCCTAAACACTAAATTCATACACACAAAAAGGGGTCTCTCCAATCCACCATTAGCCACTAAAAAAAAAAAAAATACAGAACATTTCTATTCAGATTGACTTTGGAATCATTTTTCCTAAACATCTGAAGAGGAAACTGATTTTTGGGGAACAAACCATTTAATTTTTTTCCCCTGACTTCAAGGGTGATCATCAAACTATCACAGAGAAGTAATCAGCACGTTTTCATCTCCTAAGGCATATACAGCAGGTACAAAGGACAAGACAAAACACCAAGAGAACACTATACAAACACATCAAACACCTTGGAAAAATTACAATAATTAAAGTTATATTAAATGTTAATGCATTTTGATTGTGGGGTATATGTGAGTGTATCCTCAAGTACAAGTATATATGATCCATTTAAATTAATGTAAGAAAAGGGAAAAAAATTAACATTAACATGCTTTTGCAAAGAAATGCCTGTATTCATTTTCCCCCTTGAACATTCATGGCCAGAAAAGCATTTCTCACCAGAACTACCGTTTTTTGTTTATTCTTTGTGCCTATTGTGAAGAGGAAGTAACAAAGGTGTTTGCTTCAGGATCATGGGAACTGATTGGCATTTTTATATGAAAAATGAAGACTGTTTTCCTTGTTTCTAGGCTTATTATATTTACTAAACTGTAATGATACGAGCCAAATTATTGTTGTGTATCAAACTACAACTGGAGTGTGTGTGTGTGTGTGTGTGTGTGTGTGTGTGTAACAGGGAGAAAGAAATAGATGGGCAGAGAAAAATAATAATACATAGCTAATTTTAAAAGAGTGATACTGCTGCTTGGGCAGATGAAACAGTCTTTAAATATTAATTGTCCTGAAATCTGGTTTTAACTGAATGGAATTCTCTCTGATAGATAACAAATACATTCAAACATATTTAATCTAGCTTCCTCTGACTGCTATAGTAACTCACAAATAACTGATCAGTTCTTGCCTCTTACTTGGAATTGCCATGGAATTGATCATCTAAAGTGGGACACTTTTGAGCACATATATGAGGGCACTATTTTTAACCAGATTAATACAATAAGCTTAAACTGCAACAAATCCAGAAAACCAAGCAGGCTGGCTCACTCTACTCATATTAAACTTTTGTTTTGTTACAGTTTTTTTTCTGCGACATAGAAGTAAAAGAAGCATTTTATATTCTTTCTTACGTTTGCCCACATACATGTGTTGTGTGTATAGGGCGTGCGTATCTTTTGATACGTTTATACTGGAACTGATGCTGTATGTCCAGAGCATATAAAAATAGATTAACAGTCACATAAAAATACAATGCATAGGTAATTTTTTCCTAAGCCTTAATTTAGCTAGTGGGCTGGAAAATGTCAACATGCAAGGGGTTAAAGAACAGCTGATGCCTCATGGAAACTTTGTAAAACATTCTATTTATAAACAATTCTATTTGGATATCACATTTTCTATAATGCTATTGGCTTGTTTTATTTTTATACCTTAGAAAGTTTCCATGAAAGAGTATGGGCTCAAGGTTATCTTTCCTATGCTTATTTCTGCTTATTTGATTCTGAATGCATCAGGCTTTTGTAATTTGTATAACTGCTCTAAAATCAAATGTGTTTTCATATGAATTCTACAAGATAAATTCACAATGAATAATATCCACAAAAATATTGAATCTACATACTTTTGTTTTTGTTTT